CTGTGCGCCTCCCCTGGCATCAAGTGCCCGCCGGCTCACACCTCCTTCTGGGTGAACCAAACATGCACCTACACTTACTTTTACATACTACATTTTCCTATTTTTAGTGAATGGATGCATTTTCTACATGATAATCTAAAATTCGTAAAGTAAAAATTACATTATGGCATTAAAGGTGCACAAACTTTGGTGGAGTGTTATCTCTTTGCCTCGATTGATCTGTATCCATCTTGCAGTTCTTCATGCAGTTGTTTTAGTTTTGTTGCTAAAAAACACATACAAGTAGAGTCGCCTGTCCACAGATCTGACCTGTAACTTCTCCAACTTCGTCTCCATGTTTAATGATGTCCTGTGCCATAGCATCACCAAGACAAGCGTGGCAGATGAACTCCAGATGAGGTCCATTACTGTGGAGGTCTGTTTACATGTGTCTCAACTGAACCGAAGTTATACATCATAATAATAAGGGATTCACTAATCAAACCATGCTACGTTAAGATGATTGAAGTAATTATAAAAGTGCAACAGGTAAAACTAGTTAAGGACCACTGAAATAAGTCATACTAATGTGTTTGTTTAAGGCCGTGTGTGAGCCGTCTCAGCCACCGTCCATATGACAGACTGCCTCGCTGCTGATTAGAGTCTGAATAGGATTTGGATGAGAGCCAGGTTCAATGGGAGGTCTGGTCTTCAGGTGCCCCCTCCTCCTCCTCCTTCTCTCTCACTTCTTTTCTTCTCCTCTCTCCCTTTCTCCACTCCTCTTCATCACCTGCTGCTCCAGGAAGGCGACCAGGGTGAAACCAGTGTGTGCCGCTACAGGCAGGAAGAAGTGGGGTATAATCTTTAAGTTTCCAAACTGGGAAAAGTGCTAAAAATAAAACAAGATCCTATATTACGCAAGGTTTACTCTTGTGAGATTGAAGCCGTATTACCTAATCAAAAACATACCTACAGTTGTGTTTTGTTTCATTCACACGTGTTTGAATAACCCTTTATGATTAGTCTGTTTACATTTTGTTTAAAAACACAGTGGAGCACAATATTATCACATGACATCACAAGGTGGAACAGAGTGTTTTCTATTTAAGAGAAGGAACCCAGCCTAAACACGTGTTAAACATGTGAATGAAATAAAACACAACTCAAGTTATGTTAAGTTTCCAATGAGGAAACAACAGTACAGTATAACATAGATCAGAAATCATTGTAATATGAGCCCTTTAAAAGAACATCACTGGTCACAAAATCTACTAATCTGCAAAGCAATGGAATAAGAAATTAAAATCAACTAAAAGTAAAAAATGGTTATCAGTACTTCTAAAAATTCTTAAGATCGTGATCACTTTTTAGTTGACCGTACAGGTTCTCACTGGGCAGCACAAAGGGCTTATATATTTTAGATGGAAATTTCCCAATATAAAAATATAATGCTTCAGCCAAATGACTATATTACTGGAAATTATCCACCATCTAAGGTCCAAACAGCGGCGGTGCTACCATTGGGCAAAAGTAGGCAGCTGCTTAGGGCCCCCAAACCTGGAGGGGCCCCCAACCAATTGCCCTCAGTGTTACTAATGGCCAAGGCCTCAGAGCAATTTGCTTTTCTCTCAATATGACATTATTGAGTAGTTTAATTTAAACAATAATCATAAGAAAAAAAAGCATATGTAATGGATGTAAACAAAAATATAATTGTGCTAGCAAAAATATAAAACTACTTTCAGCTCTGGTTTTCTAGTAGGCTGCCTAACTAATAAGACAAGTTTTTAATCCACCACAATTCAAATAAATAGATATGTCCATGTCTCAAAAACAATGGGGAAAAACAGACAATAAATATATTAAAAAACAAAACAACGGTGCATTATAGTGAGGGCCCCCAAATTGCTAACGCCGCCACTGGCCAATAAATCTATATTGGTGTCGCACTGTTTCAACCTGCATGTTGTGTTCCTATGTTGCCTGTGCTATTATAATGATATCACTCAAATCTACCTCTCTTTATTGTGGAAAAAGGTTTATCTCATTAATCAGTAACACAGCAGACTGAAACAAAGAGTGGAGATGATTTGATCTTGGACCTAACAGCATAAAACACATTATAACAAACATTTCACTGGTCAGATTTAATAAACCCACTGTGGATTACAAATGTGTAGTTTTGTTTTGTTGCAGCCATGAGATAAGTTTACATACAGAACAAATCATAATGCGTTTGGATGCTTGGCCATAAAGATGTTTTTATGCTATCTTTAATATTCCACTATCAGAGATTATACAAGCGGTATTGTGTATCTTTATATGGCTTAGTAAATCATTTCTGTTGTCTCATGGTTGTGTTTTTTCCAGTGTGTTTAAGACTACTGCACTGGTACATTTACGAGGTGTAAGACAATATATTTAAATATTTTATGGAAGTAGTAAAGTCAAAAATGCATAATTTGCTCACATGTGTAAAAGAGATCATTAATATGTGCTGTGAATACAAATACGGATTATGTATTTTTTTCCCCTGGCTGTTTCTTGGAGATTGACAAATCACATTTTATGGACTGTATGCATCACAATAGCTCTTCAAAGGAAATAATATTCAGATAAAGGAACTCAACTTGTACTGTTTGGTTCCAATAAATGTCAACAGACTGTGCGTAAGAGAAGATAAGGGCAAAGCAAAGAACGATGACAGTCTGAAATTAAAGGTCCTGTATTACGCAAAACTGACTCGTGAGCTTTAAGCCGTATTATAATGGTGTTACCTCCTCAAAAACATACCTTGAGTTATGTTTTGTTTCATTCTCACATAAGTAACGCTGCATTGTTAGTCTGTCTACATTTCCAAAGCTCAAAATCCTCTGTTCCACCTTGTGATGTTTAAGTTGACAGCTACCTTTTATCTTTCGTTCAGGCGAGTTTGACAATCCCATGGGTAAATTATCCAAATGATTCTAGTGAAGGTGTATGGAGTTTAAATACACAGTGGGGCACTTCCTGTATTATGTGTGAATGGAACAAAACAACTCTGCGTATGTTTTTGATAAGGAAACATTATAACAATAAATCAGAAAATAGCGTAACATGGACCCTTTAAAGTTTTGTAAAGAAATCCCTACCTCACAATGATCAGTTACAGTGATATGAACACATGTAGAGGATGTGAGAGGATTTTGAAAAGGGCTTTGACTCAAGTTACATTTAAAAACATCTTTGTTTTAGGATACTGATGCACCTTCTGTTTACTTGGCATTACATTAATAGCATTTTAAAGAACAATAGTGGCCTTCTTGTAGCTATAGGACAGTCCTGTTTGTGCGTGCTCTTTGTTTCCAGGGCAGAGGCTGTGACCTGGTTAGTGCAGGCGCAGGGGCTTGTGGGAGCAGAGGTGCAGGGGTGCATTTGTTGGTGATGTATTGGCCCTCCTCTGTTTCTCCCCTCATCAGCTTCATTTACCCCATGATAAACACCCAATCATGAGCTGTGATTAAAGCCACAGTAAAAATATTCACCACATAGTTAATATTCCGCTAACAAGGAAAGCAGCTCCCAAACTGCCAACTAAATAGATATACAGCTCCACGCGCGCACATACATCTTCACTCCCGCGTCGCCTGAAAACTCACACCTAAACATTTCGCGGCTATCTGCTCCCCCCCGCTTCCCCCTCTCCCCCCGCTCCGTGCTGGCTACGTGGAATTAGAAAACCCACCCCGCGGTCTCATTAATTAATTAAAGACTGTGCGCCGATGGCACCTGAGCACCGGTTATCGCGGCGGCTCAGACGCACCGTGATCTGTGTAACCAGCCTCCACAGGGCAGCCTCTGAGGGGAGGAAGAGGAGCGGGATGAAGTGTTCTTCTGTTCAACTTTGAGCTAAAGACAGTTTCATAAAACGTATAAAACTTATATCGTCTACGAAAGGAGGCTACAAGTATCTTATGTGACCTCCCAGACCAGAGAACATCAGGGCTTGTAGCTGTTACATGTTACAGCTATTCAACAACACTAAAAATAAATACTTTTTTTTTACAGTACATTTAAAATATTGTGAATTACAGCAATATACAGATAACATTTTACAATACTGAAATACTATACAGTAAATTACAATATTACTATTGTTTTGTCGGTCTAGGTCCCTACACAGCAAAAAGTAGAGTGTTAAATTAACTCAATCAGAATCCATTTTAATATTTTCTCAGGGTTTATATGAGCCCAATCTGTTCTAGAGTTAATTTAACATTTTTGGAAATGTTAATTAAGTAACACTGGACCAAAGTTCCCATTTAACCACGAAAATCAAGAGCTATATTCACGTTTTGAGAGTAAACGGATAACACTTTCTAGGGTTATCCTGATTTAGCTAAACAACACACAGAGGTGTTTTATTTTTACACTTAATTTCATCTTAAATTAACTAAAATAATGTACAAAACAGGTTCAAACTGATCTTCTCTCACGGGAGTTTGAAGTGGTGGGTGTGAGGTGGCAAATTAACACTAGGGGAAGTTGAATTAACATCAACCATATCCACTCTGGCAAATAACCCCAACTCAAACCTCCATTTAACTTTCAAATGGTTAAAATAAAAATTTTGTTAAAAACAACTCAAATTTTGACCCTCCAGTTTTTGCTGTGTAGTTATAATAGTTTAAGGTAATTTCTTTGGTGTTTATTAATTATATTAATAGTACAGCCTTGATATTATAGTGTTAATAGCCTAATTTTTTGTATAGCAATATAATCAATATTATTTTTTGCACTTGTTCTTTTGCGATTCAAAAGAAATCAAAGCAGCACTAATTGGTCCAGTAGGAAAAACAGATGAATTTGTATTTGTGAATAAAATTGACTGGACAAAAGACTGGTTCAGTAAACTGGATACGACACTATATATAACAGTTAATATGTGAAATATTAAAGGTTCATCTTGATAACAATAGTGGTGTATAAAAGAAGTGTATCCTGTAATCTGTGTCAGTCTGTTTCATCTCTGAGCAGGGACCATGAGTTTGCTGTGGAGCTGGGACAACCTTCTGTCAACATGGAAACAGGTCAGCAAATTAATATTAGACAACTGCAATTCAAGGTTATAAAAGTTTTAAATATTGTGCATACAAAACCAATTTTAACTGTCTACAAAATAAGAAATTAACATTCATGTGAGAAAAAAGCTAATGAAAATCTGTCTTACTGAAATTGATCCAAATATTTAGCATTTTAATGTTTTTAATTAGTGTAACCATGATGTAGTCAAAAAGAAGGGCACCTGTTTGTGGATGGAAAAAAATGACATAATTTGTCGCTGCGGTTTTATACTGTTGTTTAAACGAAAAATGTATTATATGGCATTATATTTGGTAGGGGTTCTGGGGTTCTCCACAGTAAAACTTTGATCCAAGCATGTGCAATGATCTCTTTTTGAATCCAGGTCTTAGCACTGCTATATTATTATTATTATTTGTTTTTTTTTATTGCATACTAGTATATGGAATTACATAAGGAACCATTGTACCCACATTCTCAAAACTACTCACAAATATTTATGACAAATCAGTAGATCTTATTTTCCTTCAGGTTGATAAAAGTGTGGATACAGCGGCGATTGGAGACCTGATTGAGTTCCTCCAACCCTGGTCTGGACTGTCTCTCTGGGCCGTCTATGTGGGAGAGGGACACGTCATGCACTTTGGGGTCGGAGGTGAGCCCTTTTGCAAAAGAAATTCTTCAAACCTGGAAGACCAAATTGCATCATCATTTTTATTTATAACAATTTTAATTTTTTTTCACATTAAAGATGAGAACACAACACAAAAAGCCTGTCGCAGTCTAATCAAGATACTGATCCCCAAGTCAAAATCTGGGAGTATACTGAAGAAGACAAGGATTTGTACACAGAAGATATCTGAGATCAGAGTTCCTCCAGGCACTACCATTCGAGTCAATAACAACAAGCACAACCTGGCCCCCTCCACTCTGGACGAAATCCTGTACCGCTGCCACACATTTCACCATCAGGAGTTCAACTACGACATGGTCAAGTTCAACAGTGAGCACTTTGCTACATTCGTCCGCTATGGCCAAGCTGTGGGAAACCAGGTGGGTCCAAACACATATTTAAAAATGTGATTGTTTGAGACATTATGTAAAACATTGAAATAGCAATCAAACATACTTTTCCTCTGCATGATATCGAAAAAGAGTGAACATTTACCCCCAGACAATAAAATTAAAGTCTGAGTCCAAAGGCAAAAACAAAGGGGAAGATGGGTAGAGCTGCAAAAAAAAAAATCTGAAATATTTCACACAATGTCAGTTAAAATGAACCTGCAGACAAAGTATAGACCTATGTTGTAGGGTAGAACAAGCGCATATATCAATTAACAGAAGTGAATTAATTGCATTTTAGATGACACCATTTTTGTAATAGAATAGAGGAATAATTGAAATCACATCATATATTTCATTAATTGCACTACCCTAAAGTTGGGACTAATACCTTGGCAGTGGTCTGTACTTTTGAGGGCTTCAGGTTGAGCTAATAAAACATTTTTTTTCCCAGATGCTCATAGCTTTTTTTGGTCTCTTTCATTTTCAGTCTCTCAAAATCTGTCTTTGACTTCTGTACAGTATTGCCTATTAATAAAGTTGTAATTCACTTAACTGTAATTCCATTTTTCTATTATCCCCCAATTTAGATTTCCTTGAAGCCAAACAGCAAGGCCAACGCGGACACGACTCAGACCCTGCAAATGATAATCCAACAACGCGCTGAAGCAGGGCTATAATGATTTTGACTCAGTAACTTTTCTACTTCTTCTTCTTTTTCTTCAGCAAAATAAAAAACTTATTCCAGCTGTGTTTCCTAATCCCTTACCAAACTTCTTAAATGAGTGGAAAAGTATAGCAAGGCATTATCAATGTGTACAAAATGTACCACCAACTCTAATAAATGCCAAAAGCGTGATCAACAAAGCAAAGTTAGGAAAGTATGTGTCCTCTTGTTTATTAGGACTTCTGGAATGTCAATACGAATGTTTCTATACAGTAGCAGCGCTGAGAAGAGCAGTACACAGACACAATGACCTTATGCTATTCTTCTGTTTGATAATGACCCAGACACAGCACTGGATATCAGCAGGCCTCTAATAGCACAAACTCTCTCCATCATCGGCTAATAACGTCCGCTCGGCCACAGGAGTCACGGCCAGGCCAGAGCTCCACATCGCCAACAAAGCCCCAAGTCCGACCGCCTAAACAGGGAGCATCCCGTTTATCGATTTGGGATGGTGGCCTGTGACGGCATGGGGGGCTAACTACATTCCTGTTCAGTCCCAGACACCGACAAATAGCACAGCAAAGAAGAAAACACTCGGAGCACAACATTTTATGCTCACAATCAATCCTTTTGGCTCATTTGTCCGGATCTTTCTGCAGCAGCCTCGTGGACACACTTGCAGGGGTGGTATTTTTTAAACTCGTTACTCTTTTCTTAATTGGTAGAGAGATTCCATCCTTTTTAGCCTCGCAGCAACCCCTCCAGGGGAATGCTGATTAATTGTGTGAGAAGTCCTCACATTTCCCCTCCCCACACAGACACGCACACTCCATACAATTTCTGCGCACACACACATATGCAGCCTCTACATTTAGGGAATATTAACATCATATATGTTAATAGTGAAGGCTCCTGGGCACAGTGTGACTCTGAGTAACTATGTCTAACCAATGACAACATACAGCAGACAATGACAAAGACAGATTCAATACTAAGCCCTGTGGACCTTAATGTTAAATAAGTGTGGATTATTTCTATGCCAGTCCATTTGCATGATTTAATCTGACAAGAACTGAATACTAGTCCAACTTCCCAGGTCCATTTTCTCTACACACTTTTCATCCAGATGAATTCATTCTAGATGTGAGAAGGGTCCATTTTATAATATATTCATTTGCTTTCTCCTTCACATTGTATGGTTTTCAGTTGCCAGTATAAAAAGAGCAGATGTTATTGGCTTAGTCTGAGGATGTATCCGTGCAGCTGGGCTGAGAAGGCCTCCAGAGAGAACTTGTCTTGCACCCTGGTCCTTCCGGCCTGTCCCATGTCTTTGCGGAGGTGGGGGTCTTTGACAAGCCGCTCCATAGCTGCAGAGAAGGCCTCTGCTGTGGGCTCACACAGGAAGCCTGTCACCCCATCAGCCACGCTCTCCAGGGGACCCCCAGAGTTCACTGCGATAACAGGGCAGCAGCAGTACATGGCCTCCACTGGAACAATCCCAAAATGTTCTCTGCTCGGGGTGTACAGCACAGCTGTGCTGGCCCGCAGCAGCGCCACCTTCATGGAGTCCGAGGGGGAGCGCAGGAAGGTGACACAGCCCTCCAAGTGGATCTGCTCTGCCAGGTCCTTCAGCTCATTGTAATGCTGCACGTTCTCTGTGACACGATCGTCATAGCCTCCTGCTACCACCAGGTGGACGCCAGCCGCCTGCTCTCTGGGCAATCTGCTCCTCAGAGCAGACAGGGCCTCCAGAGCCAGGCCCAGGTTCTTCTTGCGCTCGTATCTGTTCAGAGAGAGGAACATGCAGGAGGTGCCCTCAGGAAGCAGACCCCCCAGGCCACACTCCTGTGAGCTAGGCCGGTCAAAGGTGCTGGTGTTCAGAGAGGGGTACAGCACGTCTGTCTGGACTCCACTTAGACTCCTGAACGTGTCTCTGAACACGCCCGCAGTGAACTGACTGTTTACCAGGATCTGAGGAGAGAGAGGGCAGATTAGCTCTGCTATATCACAGCACTATAATTCCAGATGAGCTGAATAATATCCACAGGTCTTAAAACAGCCTCAGGCCCATACAAAATGTCACTGTTTCTATCAGTGCCTTAACTTTATAACTATAGAACTTCTAAGTGCATATAAGGATTAGGTTATAAAAACGCACATACCATGTCAGCCATACCAGTGGTCCGTTCCTCCAGCCAGTCAATAGGAGCACGATACATTTTCTTTAGAGCGGTCTTTCTTTGTGTCAGTAGCTGGTCTGGGAAGTGACAATAGAACAGAACCTTTTTCCTGTGACGTGAAAGTCTCAACACTGGGATACACACAGACACCTATAGAAAAAATAGAAAAACTTGTAAAAAATAAATGAAGCATCATAACCAAGTTTTACCAGTGAATTTTTTAAAGTAAAATGTGTTGCATAATTTTTCAACTTAATTATGTAAACTTGAAACCTGGCTTTGTTTTTTATGCCCATTTCAAATGTAATGTGCATCATAACCACAATAAAATGCAAAACATGCAAATAAAAGAGATACTCTCCAAAAGTAGTGCGTGTGGCATTACTATGTGAAAACTAACAGTGTGGTTCTAAAGCAAAAATTCACAAACCTGATCGCAGAAGACAACATCATACTCCAGTCCGCTGAAGAAGACCAAATATAATGCTACATAAATCATTCTTAGGTAGGCGCAGAGAGCATGCAGATAACCGCACAAACTCGTAGGCAGCCAATCACCAACACAGACCTATAATAAGGAAAACATACAGTAAATAAGGTAAACTTGACATTACAAGGGAAATATTACAACAAAAAATTGTCATAATAATAATATTTTACCACAGGCAGGTCTGGGTCAAGAGTCTCAGAGAAGCAGTGAGTGGGGTCATAATGTGCAGTCCATATTTGAACACTACATCCTTGAGATTTCAAAGCCACGGCTGCATCCACCACCAGTCTCTCTGCCCCACCAATGCCCAGGTCTGGATGAAGAAACACCACTCGCACCATCCTACAAAGAGGAAATATAAGAATTAGGAAGACTGTTCATTTTAGATTTGCAAATTATGAATTATAATTATGTATAAATGTAATGCACTGTAGTATTGCATTTTTAAAATTACTGTGATTGGTGGAAAATAGTCTGCAAAATACCCTGCTAAATAACTAAGAATGGGGAAAATAGCTGACAGAAGTTTATTTACAAGTGTCATCTGCTCAATGAAACAATAAAGACAGACTACAGACTGCTACTGATCCACGAACTATTGTTGTTCTCTTAATTTGACAAACTAAGTTAAACCATCAGCAGCACCGTTTATTAAAATAAACTTAATTGTTACCTTTGGTTCTCTTGAATACTTCTCTCACTACTGATAAGACTCGCCTATCCTGCGCTTTATCAACACACGATTTAAAGAAACTGGCGAGCTTTGTCCGCCATATTGGCTCAAATGTCCATTTAAAACAGCGCTGTTTATTCTCGATGTTTGCCCCAAAATGGCCGCGTTTTCATGGCAGCAAAGCACGCGTTTCCTGTAAGACACGTCAACTTCGGTTTGAAGCGGGTAGACTGTCTGCCTTTAAAATAATGACAAATTTAAGCTCTATATCAATATAATTTATAAAGTATGTGCTGTATTAAGTTTTATGTATCCTTTTAGTGGGAAATGTCTATAGAAATAGTAACGTATTCGTAAACGTTGTTGAGTAATTGGCAAAAAGCCGGTCAGGCATCTGCTCGGCCCCCTAAGTCTCTAGCTGCCGTCTGTAGTCGTGTCCTTTTTAGATAGGCGTCAGCGTTGTGGGAACCTGCTCAAATTTGCACCAATTCTTTTTGCCTTCTGCTCATTTGACGTGGACATCAGCTGAAGAGGAGCACACAAATTCCCCCCCTCGATCACAGTAACAATTTAATTATGGTAAGTCAGCGCTGCGACCATCAAAATAACATTTACTATAGATGCTCAGTGCTAAGCTCCGCTCTGTCCATTCATTTAGAGCTGCGCTGAGCCTTGGCTGTGTGGATTAGCTTGTTAGCATTAGCTTCTCAATGCAGACGTGGCTGTTTAGTGAAACTATAACTACACAGCTTACTAATTTAATAGTTTGGGTTCAAGTTACGCTGTTATACTTGTAATTAAATAATTAGAATCATATTTTATTCGAATGAGTCAAATTAGTTCATACATTAACTAGTTGTAACAAGTGAGATGATAAATCTGGTTGTTAAATCACAGGAACTTACACTGTATTTACATAGTTCCTGCATTTGCTCATTAAAACTTTTAGCAGGCTCTTTAACTGGGTACTTATTAAAAATGTGTGTGTGTGCTATATTTATAACTTTACTAATGTTGTGTTTTCAGCCTGGACCAGCAGCAAGCGCAACCAATGTTGGGGCATCCAGCCGTTCCCCAAGCAAGACAGTCGCCCCTCGGGCAGCAGGCTCCACAGTCAGGCAAAGGTACTTTTGTCCACAACAAACTGTTTTTCATCACTTACAACAGAAGTATCTTGAGGTATCCATTTATAATTTTGTGTAGAATAGCTCTCCAAGAGCTTTAAAACTTAAAATGCTTAATTCAGTCTAAATTCTAGAGATTGCCTGTGTATTTTATGCAATTCCACTACAACTTGATATTATTATATTATTATAAGAATGTTTTTATAATACCCATTATCCCTAATTACGCCTCTGCAGTGCTTCACTGTTAAGGAATGTTATTAATGGTCAAAGGCTCCAAGGAACCCTCCTACTAGAGTATAATAATGTTTTTATTTTTCTAATGAGTTGTTTACAGCAATAAATTAATGTTGTGCTCCTGGCTTAATCAGTGAATGATCAAGGTCTCACTTTACTCACACTAACTTATTAACCCCTTTGAATTAATAGCACCAAGTAGCCATTATTCATTTGTATCATGTCTGGACAACAAATTAAGTTGAGTTCAGTCTATATTTTAACAATGTATTTTAACTTGTTTTTATAACTTGTTTTTAGTTAAGGTTTATGTATCAAACAAATGTGAAATCGCTGTAAAATTACCCAGAAAATGCAGAAACATCACCACATTATAGCCTATTTTCATTCTCAGCTTTTTTCCCATTCATTTTCATTCTTAATTAGCTTGTAGCACCATTTTTCATAGTAAGCAGTATAGTCAGTATTTACAGTTCTTCAAAACAACATTCACAATATTGTCAATATTTCAGTAGTCTGCTCACCTCTGCTACACCATTAAATGTAGTTCTAATCAACTCAAGCACTACTACTCTACTCTAAATCAAATTAACACTAGACCTGCTGAGTTTGAGAAACGCTGTTCTAATACATTTGCTTTTCCTACATCCTCCTTGGCGCTGTTGTGAGACATTCTCTGACTGTATCTGTGTTTGTTTTCTAGGAAAGCAGCCAGCAGTGGCACACGCAGTGGAGGCAGGACCACATCAGCAGGGACAGGAGGCATGTGGCGCTTCTACACTGAGGACTCACCTGGTCTTAAAGTGTAAGTCTGCTCTCAACACACAGCAGCCAAACTCCCAGTGATGCTGAACTCATTTCCTCTCTGACATTTTACCTGATCCACTCATAAGCATCTACTTAAGAGTAATTTACTGTAATGAGAGGAAATTGCCTTACGTGACTATGTAGTCCAACAAATGATTTCTACTAACGTGTGTACAATGTTTTTATACACACGGTAGGCCTTTAAGTACTTTCACTTCCAAACAGGACATAACATCAACTTTTTTCTCAACTCTGATTGATCCTCAGAAATCAGTAGCCAGTTAAGGTTTTAAAGTTTCTCAAGCACGGGATGCCACCAGTTAAAAGGTCAAATGGGTGGAGAGACGAGCCTGGGTCATCGTCCAAATGCATGTTTTTCAAGCTATTATTAAGGAAAGAAAACATCTGTGATGGAATAAATGCAAGATGGTTACATTTGGTAAAGGTTAATTCTGTGTTCAGTTTTAAACTTAGAATTAACTGTTCTTTTTGTTTCTTTTTGCAAACTGTAAGGTGAATATGTTTAATACCATACTGTGAAGCAAAGCAATGGCATCTATATGTAGACAAACAGGCAGACTCTATGTCAAAGTTACATAGAGCATCTTTTTAGTAGCAGCTGTAGTTGTGTGGTTTGGTGTAGAATTAGTTTTTTTTGTTTTTTTTTTTTAAGTGTTCTTCTGGCTTTAATAAAGCTATTAGGTTAAAAGCAATTCTGTGTTGGGACAATAGTGAAATGGCTCACATTTTAATAGAATATAAGGTTAGGTGGATTATGCATCAAGTTCACCTGGCCAAAGAAGTGGCTAGTAACCACAATGAACTCTAGCATCAAGTCCTCTTTCCAAACTTTGGTGTAACCCCCAGTCCAAATATTTTAAAGCAACTTTTAGGTCTTGAGTCTCTCTGCAGCACATGGCAGATCAATGCAGCGATGTATTGGTGTCTGTGCAGTTGGAGGAGGGCAGATGTTTGGTACAGTGGTGTATATATTGAGTATGTGTTTGTTCCTCCGTTAGACTCTTGCCTCAAAGCTTCATTAAAGGATCGGCTCTAAAAGGTCAACTCAATTACAGCCTTCTGACAAGAGGGAGGAGGGGGCTGTGGGGGTGCAGAGGAGGTGGTCGGCATGGCAATGTTGCTACTTACCGATGCGCCCCGATCCCCTGTGCTGCTCAGTCCCTTCTTCAGACACCACAGCCCCTCCTAGTATCCAAATCTCATCAATAAAATCATTCGTTCTGCCCATACTAGAGGGTCTGGCGTTACAGCGCATGATAAGTAAGACCAGTGGTGAGCTTTCATTTGTGCTAATCATTTACTTTGATTTTCTGACAGGGGCCCCGTGCCAGTCTTGGTCATGAGCCTGCTCTTCATCGCTTCAGTCTTCATGCTTCACATTTGGGGAAAATACACCCGCTCTTAAGAACTGCTGCCTTTTGACCCTTGACCCTACGACCTCTGTATCTCCGTCTCTTCAAACATTGGATCAGGACCAAATGACAAAGCTTCTCTCCACAGACACAAACTGGATTTTTATGCCCCTGTGCAACATTTGTGGTTCCCTGTTGCTTAATATCTTTCATTACACTAAAGGGATAAGATACATTGGAAAAACGTTCTATCCCACCATAGACTCAAACTGTGTGTCTTCATAATTTCTTCACTGATCTAACTGCAGTGTTAAAATATATTTTTATGTGCAGGCTCCTGTCAACAGCTTATTGAAGTCTGACTTGCTTTTTGTTAGCAACATTTGTACAAAATGTGATTTATAAAATTGTACAATAAAAAAAGAAAAAACATTTGTATTGGGCTTTCTTTCCTTTTTTTTCATGAATTATTTCTTAGTTTTTATCAATGTATCGCAAAATGGTACAAAATACCGTTAGCATTCACACTTAACTTTAGTATAATGGTACAACAATAAGTAGGTTGTATATGTGATCTGTAAAATAGTAAACGTATTTCTCAGATTGAGTAGCTCTGAAATTTCACCTTAAATGATCTAGGTTTATTTTTTATTCTGGTGTTTTCTCTAGAGATCCTGTGGGGGGCGCTACAGACTTCTTGGTGAAGTTTTGCAGACTTTTAAGATCCATTCAATTAGTCTGATTGCTGGTGGTTTGTTTTTGTGATAACCAAGTCAAATAAGCTCCTGTGTTCCTGTGAAAATAGCAGCATATAAACACGTATGTCATGATGTTGACAGTAGGTCTGTATGTCACCATGGACACCAGCCTGAACTGCATTACCTTATAGTGTTAAATATGTAATCAGCAGCTGGCATGTCTTCTGCTCATGTCAGAAGTGTGTGTGAAGAAACCCGGTCCTCTTGAGTTTAAGGAGGAGCCGGGATCTTTATTTATTAATTGATTAAGTGGCTCTCGCTCCTTTTTCCCGCTGGATCCGCGTGTTGTTCGTGGCAAACCGGGCCCCACTGCCACATCTGTCCCCTCCACTCGTGTCCGACACACGCGGCGCCCCAATCCACAGCGGCTCAACACGCGCGCACCAAGAATAATTCAACAAAACGATTAAAAATGGAGGAGACGAAATCACTGTGGGGCCCATGCAGTGAGTGACCCTCTACCTAAATAGATCCTGACACTGCCGCCATAAGAAGACTCAGCATATTCACAGGCAGTTAGGGCATGCACGTAGCCTGTTATCACTCTCTTAGTTCTTATTTTAGTTTTAACCAGTTTCACAGTGTTCCCATTAAAAAATGTGGTGGTTCTGAAATCTAGCTGAACAATAACTTGGTGAAGGCCTCCAAAAAAGGTTGTTATTTGGTTGCTTGTGTAATAAGGCTATAAAAAAAAGGATGAGAAACACTATTCAGAAATAAGAATGCTTTGAGATAAGTTGGTCTGCTACTTACTTTTTTGCCCAAAATGCTCAACTTTATCATATATATCTTGCATTTATTCAAAAGTAGTTTGCTAAAAATGCCTTGAAAG